ATAACTGATGGAAGAAGATGCAGTGATCCACAGCCAGGAACTGGACTGAGCTCCTGGAGTTCAGTTGAAGACAGGGAGGAGGAATCATATGAACTATGAGCGTCAAGATCATGATGGGAAAACCACAAAGAGAGCTGACCTGAGCTAGTGGGAGATCACAGGCTCTGGAGTGACAGCTGGGGAACCTGCATGAGAACAAACCACGCCCTCTGAATGTGTATGATGGCATTATGGCTTGATCTTTTGGGGGGTAGAGAGGCAGGCAATGGATCCAGATCTTCTTGTCCTGGTGCATCACCTGACTTTTTGCAGCACATTACCTATGGTGGGATACCCTCCTCAGCCTGATTCAGGGAAGAGGAGCTTGGTCCTGCCAGAACTTGAGATCCTGGACTTCAGTGACTCCAAAAGGGAGGAGTGGATGGGGGATGGGAGAAGTGGAAAGGTGGAACAATGGGAGGGAGGGGGAATTGGGCTTGGAATGTAAAATGAAAAGCAAATTTAATTAAATAAAAAAGAATATGAAAACAAATCAAAGTAATTAATGCATATTATATACTTAAACATCATTTAATTTGTGGCAAAAATATTATATTACTGGGGATTTCCTTAACTGAACATTCCAGTGTATTGAAATTTATGAATCTCAACAGTATAGCATAACATGTTCATGGATTATTTTATATCACCTATTTCTATTATTTACATTTTCTTTCTTTGGTTTATAATGAAAAGTAAAAAGGAGATCTTTAATATTCTTGTCTTCCAATCTCTGTTTTGTCCAAGTGCTGAGTGTTCAGGGCACTGCCATTTAGGACGATGGAATTTAGGTTAATAATGTCTTCTGAAATGCTTCCCAAAGCTATTCTAGAGATACAATTCTTCTTTAAACAGTGGTAGCTTCTAAATAATTATTTAGAGTGTAAAACAAAAGATTGTTGTGGTCATGTATTTTGTGACCAAGTGCTATACAATGTAGAAAACTGTATATGATGCATTTTCATAAAACTAACTACCTAATCCATTTGTTACAACACCTGCATGAAACATCAAGGAACCCAGAGTATAATAAAGTTATGACAGCTGTGACAGACACATAGATGGTTTCCTTTTGAAAACTATGCTTTAATCCTCCTTGCAAAACACATCTACCGGCATTTATTTTTTATGTATTTTGAGAAAGTTTTTCTTTATCTCTTGCTTTGAAATGTAATTCACAGGACACCAAACACTATGTGTTTGTTTTTGCAACACTTAAAACGTTTTACATCACCATGTTCTTGCTTACACACTTTCCAACAAGAATTGAGAAACAATTCTTGGGTTCATTCCTATAGGGACCTTTTTTTTTCCTCTTATGTTGTTTCAAGTTATATTCCCTGTATTTGTCTATCTGGAATTTAGAAATTTTACAGTTAGGTGTGTGTTGGTAACTTATTCTCTTCAATATTCTCTAAAATTTCAGAATCTGTTGCTCAATTAAAATATTGAACGATTGCTATAGTAAGTTTTTGAATACTTTCCCTTTTTATTTTTCTTTGTATTTTCCTTCGACGTGTTATATTTTTTGCAGTTATGCAACAATTACAGGATATAGGTTTGTTGTTTTTCTTTGTATAATTTTACAATTTTACTAAAATATATAGTACTCAAAAACACAGAATATCAGGTAAACAAGAATTGATATTAGAGTTAAAAGATGTCTTAGCTTTCATTAAATGTATTTTAAAATTTTTATATCAAAATACAAAACATATCTTGTTCTCTTTTTAAATATATTTTGCAAAATTGTGTTATTCTTTCTAATATACTGAATTGGTCAAATTAAGAGCTGATAACTGTTTACCCTGTCCTTCCCTTTTACAATTATCACTAATATGCATTCCATTTATGTCTCTACTTTCATCATACATGCAATAATGTTAATAAACAGTAAACACAATGTATAAAGAGGGTAAAGGTACTTTTATCTAAAATGTCTCTTTTCTACATTAACAGTGATATAATTTGAAACATGATAGATTTGTTTTCAGTTTCTTTGAAATATCGCAGTTTCAAACTAAAGAATGACGTTTATACTAGTATTGCTGACTGAAACATGGCATTTCACCTCAAACTGCATGGCCTAGGGACTGAACTACCATGAGTAACAGGGAATAAAGAAACAGAAGACAGACACATATGCAGAAAAGCTGGGCTGGAGATGTTTTCTGTCCTGAAGAAGCACCAACAACAGCCCAGAAACTCATTACAATTATTTAATACAGATGAATTGAGGAGGCCAGTTTATTGTGCACTGTTGAACAAGTAGGCTGATTTAAGTGAATTCCATAGGGGCTCTCTGCAGAGCAGCAGTCTCAGGTTTAAAACACGCAGTGGGAGGAAGCTATAATCCTCATTTTATGGACACACTTTCAGCATCCACATGGGGATGAGGGGAGAGCTTGAAGTTTTTCCTGATCCTGATACAGGCATTTCTGTGCTATTCTAATGGGTCTGAGACATCGGGGTTACTGACAGTGCCATGATCATGTCCATACTCATGTCAGCAATGAACATTCACAAAGGACTCCATCCACAACTTGCGTATTCACTCAAGGCTTCCTTCATTTCCCACAACTTTCCTTTATTGGTATTGCAACAACCAACGTCATGACATACAATCGTTAAGCTTTATGTCATTGATGGACAGTCAGTTGGATGCAGTTCAGAATGGCACAATCTAGGAATAAATCAGACTTCCTACTTTGTCTATTGAAAATGCTGTGTTCAATAAGAAGTGTAATACCCTCAAACGCAAATCCACAAGGTTAAAGAAACTTCAGTGATGTTATTTGCACACATGTCACTTAGCTCTTTCTGTGGCGGTGATGAGGATGTGACTTTTTACAGCACTGCCTGAAGCAAAACCATATATGATTAAAGACTGGTTCTTAATGAAGTATGGCTTCTTCAAGGGAAGGATTATGAAAAGGATGGAGGCAGAGGACAGTGGCTCTAATGTTAATTGGGGAGAAACAGAATTGGTTGAATAAAAATATGGCTTCTACCACCACCTCTTAGCAAAGAAATAAAATGCATTAAATGACTACAAAATGAATCTTGTGGTCCTGGATGTTAGTGAGCTTTCTTTGATGGTTGGATAATTGAGTGGCTTTCAAAATTTACAGCAGGCAGACACTTTATCTACAGCATTAGAGAGGCTGATGCTAATAGAATGCAATTGGATTGTTACAGTGTTTTCTATAAATAACATATGCAGTTTCAGCAAATATGAATTTACATTGATTCTTTTCCTTTAATGAGTAAAAAAAGGGTGGTGTAATCACTTATCCCAGAAAAAAAATGTGTACAGAGAGTAAAAGAATTGCTTTTGGAAACACATAACAAAGTATTTGGACATCTTAAATGTGCAAATTTATTGTAGAATACATTTTAAAATACAAAAATAATTGTGATATTGAAGACTGTGAAAAACTAAGTAAGTTAGGTGGAGCAAAGTTGGAGTTGCAGCAAGTGAAACAAATTGTAAACCTTGAGAATTAAAAGTGAGAAGAAAATCTACCTTATGAAATCAAGGCAGAAGTATCTAAAAGGAAATGTGTCCAACAGTATTTGCCAAGGCTTTACATAAATATCTCCAAAATAGAGTGTCAAAGTTAAAGATGAGGAGTAATGCGTATTGATGGTAAAACACATGGATCTCAATTAGAGATAGAGTACAGTACAGAAATCCCGGGATAGATTATATCATAAGATTATCCTACCCTCTAACAACATAGAATCCATGGCTGATAATTAAACCTGACCAGAGCCAAAGGGGACAACATAAACTTTTAATCATGTACTGGGTAGGTAGAAGGAGGGAAATCAAATGTTCAGTTATTTTCTGCTACATATCCAGTTCATGGCCAGTTTGTTTTGCAGATTTGTCTTGAAAAACTAAACCTACAAAATAGCTAAATAAATAAACAAACATCATCATAAAACACATCATTAGAATGGCTATAAATTTAAAGTCATTCCTGTATATATTAGCATTATTTTAAAAATTAAGGATGCATGTCTTATATTCATTCTCTTCTAAAGTTAGCTGATATTTAATGATTGAACTGTATGTATCACTCTCCATATTGAATATTTACAGCTGCGATGTAGAAACTTATGTTCACATAATCAATTTGTACAAATTAATCAAGAAAATTTCATAATTAGCAAAACAGAATATAACACAACTGACTGTCAAGCAATCGCTCCACAAAATATGCCATAGCCATGCAATCAATTTTGGCCAACAATAGAAACAAATAAAGCTTTGTTGTTTTAAAAGAATATCAGACAAACACTGAGTAATTTAAAAGTTTTTTCTGATTCAACAGCTTTTTTGGGGTTGGTTCTTTGTGATGTTTGAAGTGAAACATCTTGCTGCAAATTAGAGGTGATTACATTGTTTATGAAGCAGCCCACTGCACTCATTTGTCTATTTTATTGATTGTAGTACTTAAGGCCGTGGTATCTAAATTTTTGAGTTCTTCATCTACTCTAGATATTGGCCTTCTGTCAGAACTATAGCTGACAATGACTTTTTTCTCAATCTATAGGCTTTTTTTCAGTCTGCTTTATTACTTTCTAATATTATGCTATCCAATTTGTCAGATTTTACTATTGTTTCCTAGAGTGACTTTCAGAAAATCATTTAAGATAAGTGCTGTTGGAAAATATACATGAAAAATGTTCAATGTTCTTAGACCTCAGACAAATGTACACCAAATCTCCACTGATATCCTATTTACCTCACTCCAGTTAGAGTGTGTATCAGCAAGAATACAAATAAGAGATGATGACAAAGATGGGTAATTAAAGAGCCAAGCCTTTTTTGCCTTCCTTCCTTCTTTCCTTCCCTTCTTCCTTTCTTTGTTCCTTCCTTCCTTTCTTCCTTTCATTGTTCCTTTCTTCCTTTCTTCCTTCCTTCCTTTCTTCCATTCTTCCTTCCTTCCTTCCGTCTTTCTCTTCCTTTCTTTCTACTTATTTTTATTGCTTTAGTTCTTTGAGAAATTTATATGATGGGCTTTTAATATACTTGATGCCTTTCTTCCAACTTTTTCCAGATCCATTCTAAATAACTTGCCCATCCAATCTGTCTCCATTTGTTTTTGGGATTTAAACCAATCAAGACCACTTTGTACTCTCATATATTATTCTATCTGTGTCCTTTGTGAGAACATTGTTAATTTACTGGAATTATACATTTAGAAAAAATGGACTCCCTTGCAGAAACTACTGTCAATAGCTATTTGGCTGTGGGTGGAACTTGTACTCAATTCCCATCTCTGTTCCAATATATGGTCTGGCTTAGGCTTTCCCAGGTTATACATGTGTTATTACAATCCTTGTGAATAGATATATTCATCAGCCCTACTGTGCCCATGAGACTGCTTCCTTGTAGTCATCCCTTGCCTCTGGCTCTTCAGCATAGATACTGAGTCCTGTAATGAGAGAATATGATACAGATGTCGAATTTAAGATTTAGTATCCCTGGTTCTTGCTCTCCGCACCTTAAAAACTTGTGTGTTGGTTGCTATATTAATCACTATCTACTGCAAAGAGAAGCTGTCCTTAAGAGGACTGAGACATACCACATTTTTTTTCTTTGAAATGTCCCCTTATCTCTATAAGCATTTCAATCCATGATGTGTCAGAATCTAAGGTAAATCTGAATGAACTTTTTGAAATTACACCTACCAAGGGGTCTCTGGTGCCATAAAAAGCACTAAGTAAAATAAATATATTATAAAATTAATGGAAACCTGCTTTGCTTAAAAAACATGTTTTATACTGTTTCACTAGTAAAGCTAAAATGCCTTGAATAACTAATATTTCCAATTATTTTGAAAGTTATGAAAAATGTTAAGTACTATTCTGATAGTTTTCAGTTTAGCAAACCATTTAAATCATCCTCAGTGAGAAATTTCAACCCTCCACATATCCTGGCAACTCTTCTTTGCATGTATAGTAATAATAAATCTAGCAAGATAGAACAAATCTGTGAGAGCAACAATCTTTGCTGATGCACTTCAATGAACATGGTAGAAATGATTTATTTCTAATATATGACATACATAATCTGAATATTGTTAAATATATACATATATATGCATGTAGTGCCCATTATATTTCAAAGTTTATTGCTATATACATATATATGTATATATATACATATGTGCATGTACATAAAACAACATTCAAAATGGATTCAATAGATTCAAAGTATGATTGCCAAGTATTTGTGTACTTTAGAAAATGAATTTTACATTGCCTTTGCCTCCTAGTCATTATACTTGTGTGTAGTATTTGTGCTCTCACCTCATACACTTAAAAATGCACTTGCAAATCAAACACAAAGGCACACCTATATGTGACAATTAATTTTAAAAAATATGCCAGTTTTAGTCAAGGCATTTGTGGTAATGCCTATGGTACAGTTTCTCCATCTTCTGCTGTCTGGCAGCTGTGATTGTCAGAGTCTGCTTTGATGTCCTCCAGAGAGAAGGATGGAACTGAAATTCTTTCCAAGTATTGTTTTTAATGAAAAAAATCGAGTGAATTGTATTGTGGTTTCTGAAAAATTTACTCAAGCATGCAATCTGTCAGTAAACATCAATAAAAATCATTTTGCAACTAAGGCTTCTCTACAGGTACTTGTTAAAAGTTCTAACATCTCAGTTTCCTTGCATTATGCCTAACCCTTGAGACAAACAATAGACTTACTTTAAAACATAAGGAGAGTCAGCGTAAGTGAGGGCTACATGAAGGTGTGGAAAATCTACACATCACTGAGATTCTGAGTTGGTCACACATGATTTTGGCAATGAAAATACTCACAAAATCTTGGATAAATCTGAAGTTAAACTTTCTTCCTGATACTCAGTATTTGTATGACAAAGAGAAAGTAACCAAACTAAAAGAGCATTTATCATGGAAAAGATCATCAGAGGGGATAGGCTCTGCTAAGAAGAATGATTAGAAGGGCATAGTAAATCGCTAAGGCAGCAGCAACCGAGGACGACGGGAAAACAGGGGAAGGGTGCAGAATACAGACCACCTGGAGCTGCCTGGAGACTGGGGGGACTCACAAGTGTTACGTGGACATTAAACCAGGTAGCCACTGAGAGGCATTTACTAGTCGTACTGAGAGGAGAAGCTCAACAAACAGCCACAGGCAGTCATGCCTGCTGAGAGTGGAAGAATCAGTTTCCTCAAGGAGGATTCCTAAGTAGGTTTTACAAGCTGCCGTTGTGTGTGTGCGTGTGTGTGTGCGTGTGTGTGTGCGTGTGTGTGTGTGTGTGTGTGTGTGTGTGTGTGTGTGTGTATAATTCAAAAGAGAGGTCATGGATTGGAAATGGAGTTCACAGCGAAATAATAGGATTTGGAGTGAGAGAGGTATAGAATGTATGTAAATACATAATCTCATATTAAATTCTGTGAAAGTTAAAAACTAAAATAAAATGAGAGTTTTATAGGCTCTGAACATGGTTGTCTCTGGGTCTATATACTACATTCTACTTTGGCGGGTGCTTTTATTCTGTTTTGTCCTAGTCCATTCTAGTCTGATTTGCTTGGTTTTCTTTTATCATCCTTCGTTTCATTATTATTCTGTAGATACCTACTTGTTTTCTGAAAAGAGAAAGATATAGAAAGGTTTTGTATATGCATGGGAAGGGAAACTTTAATCAGAATATACTCTCTGAAAAACAAATGATCTATTTTTAAACAAAGAAAAAAGAAGTAAAATACAAATGAACTTTTTTTGATCTTTGAATTTGTAAACCCTATGGAAATACAAAAAATTCAAGTCCAAAAATAGTGATCAACATAACATGTTTTATAAACATTAGTAAATTTAGGAAATTAATAATCTTTGACCACATAAAATATAAAACTATTCTTTTAATATACATAATGACTAATGATCAATTATGATATATGACATCCTTCTGACTCCCTGGGAAAATATCTCTGAAAAACTTTAACAAAAAAGGATATGGAGAAAGGTGCCCTGTGAGACAATAGGCGAGTTGATTGGCTTATGATGGTAATTATTTCACAATGTATTCGTACACCTACCCAAAAAATTGTGTCTGAAAAATATTCAGTTTAGTTTAGTGATTACACATTAATAAAGGTAGAAAAACCAACAACCTTGTCCTTGAAATTTAGAAAAACTTCTGAGAAAGTAACCCCAGAATTCCGAAGACAAATTGTATTCTTTAATACACCCAACAGTAATTCTATCCTAAAGAATAATGTGCTATATTTAATACTTTTGCTATTCAGTCCAAAGTGTTCTTTCATTATACAAACAAAATGAACAGTTTTTATACTTACTGACATTCCATTTTAAAGTCTGAATTGACAATGGATTAAGTGTATTGAACTCCTTATACCAAAGATTTTGACTAAGATCATTATTACTTTCATTTTGTAATAAACATATTTGAAGATTTCACTGACCTGAAATCTGCAAAGAGGTCAAGTGTATATAGGAGGGTTTGAAAAGAAGAAATAAGAGTGTGGAACATGATGTAATTATTATAATCTCAAAAAATTAGAGTAATAATATGCCATTCTTTAATTATTTTTCTATTTTTACTTACCTATTTTTCAAATTCGAATTATGTATTTTCCTTCATTTCTTTTCTTCCTGAAAACCTTCCATGTCACTTTCTCACACTTAACTTTTTACAAAATGATGTTCTCATTTTCTATTGTTGTGTGTGAGTAATCCTAAACATATGAATGCTAATTTTCAGTCAGAAAAGAATATTACATGTGTGTGGGGGGTGGGGGTGTCCTTTTTGTGTTGGTAAGCAGTTTGTGTCATCTCCCTAAGGAAGCATACTTCTCTAGCTCTCAGAATTCCTTTGTTGCCTGTGCCTCTTTGCAAACTGCTGAGGTATCATGAGCTATTCTTTGTCCATGTTAACGTCTCTGTTGGCATATTATTCGTCAGTTCATGTTCCAGCAGGAATGTAGGTGAGAAAAGTGACACACATAAGCATGATCACAGACGAAATTAAGACTGCAACTTATGTAAAGTCATCATAAATGCTCTCTCTGAGAACATAAGTGCTCTAAATGGTAACACCGTGGAGATGGAGAAAAAGAATTACAATTTCTAAATAAGTTAAAGGGAATTTAGAATAATGAGCAATGGTATAAAAGAAAAACATAAGAATTGTTTTCTGAAACTCAAAAATGAGGCAATTACCGAAAGAGACAATTTGGAACTAGAGTCCGCAGAATGTTGAACTGCAGCTTAATATATTGTTACTTTATTATCATCATCACATTATTCTTTAGCTTATCCTGCAATAATGTGATGCTATTATCCAATTTATATTTATCTGCTTCATTTTAATGTCACAGTGTATTGTTCAATTTTTCTGTTTTTTGAAATTGCTACATTTCGTTGAGAAATAATTGTGTATCTTCTCTGGTTTATTCTTAGGCATAAATATTCTATTCCCTATAGAGGATAGTCTTGGCATATCTAAATATGAGTAACTTATATAATAACACACCCTTTGAATTCCAAATATGGGGACTATGTGATGAATTGCCCTCTCCACTCGGGCTGTATTCCCCGAAATGCACTTGCAATAACCAATTTCTCTATCTGTTTCAGTATTGAGTCTGACTCCTAAAGACCTTGTAATTTTCAGGCCTGACCATAGACATTAAAAAGGCTTTCTTTGTCTACACTCTCGTAGAAAAGCTGACTTTTTACATTAGACTTGAAATATATCCAGTGAATGTCCTCCAAATTCCTCTTGGTTTATGGTCCTCAATTGTATATATTCCTCGGATTTGCAGTTTTCACTTAGCATGTAATTCCCTCTCATTCATACCTGCATTGTAGTGTATCTTTCTAATTTTTTGGTCACTCTTGTCCCCTGACCTCACCTTTGCTGCTTCAGTTTTCTGTCCTTGTTCAGTCCTCAATGTGAGATACCTGACATTGGGCCTAAACCAAGTATTCAATAGAAGTGAGGGCACAAATATTACTTTCCTTGAACCAGGAGATCCTACTAGTGATTATGCAGTATCTTGAACATAACACAGAAAACGATGAATTCAGATGCCAAAGTAGAAGCTAGGTATGTGGGAAATTTAAAGGAAGACAGACTAGGTCAAGTTGTCCAGGGACTTAGACAAAAACTTCTGTTCCATCAACTGCTCCCAATTTGAAATCCCCAGTGATTTTTTTTCAAGAAAAAAGCTTCTGAAGCAAGCTAAGAGGGCAAAACCAGAATGATATGGGTAAAGTCTGTATATAATTTGAAGAAGTTAACAGTACTCGTAATCAATGAATCATGAAAACGATGATCTATAGGATAATAAACTCAACAGTATTCCATGTCCTATCCATAGTGGCTAATTTGGACAATAGTCACTTTATATGTACCTGTTATATTTTGCTTCATTGCCGATGTTAATTAAAAAAATCTAAACTGAAAACCTGCTCAAAAGCCCACAGCAGGGAATTCATACATGCTGAGAGAGGACCAACTACTTTTGTCTTGCCAAACAGTCATGTCGCCAAACTGCCCTCTAAATATTGCTTTATCTCCGTAGCCTGGTGCTGTTTTCACCCTTGGGCAGAGAACCTTCATTTTACAGTGGTCAGAAATTAATGAAGAAGAAAGGCTGACCCTGATATGAAGAGGAGGTATTTCTCTTTTTTAACTGCCTTCAAACTGAGTCATGGCACTTTCAATTTTCACACTCAAAATGAAACATCGGTATTACCTGAGTCTGGAGAGTGCTGGCTGTGCAATTTAGGAACTATATCTTCGGATTCTTATGAAGGTTAGTCATTATAAGGATTTGGGCTTGCACAGAAAAATATGCAAATAGATCACTATCCTGCCAAAGCATGCTATTAATTCTAGAACTTCTTAAATTATGCAACTACTTTAGTAAAACCCGTATTTACACATACACACACAGACACATGCACAAATACAAATAATTTATGTATATATTCCTATGCCACTTATGAATGTTGTTTTGTTGAAGAAACTGTGCTAGCAAATACAGCGTATCTGGTAGCTTCATGTATTCACAAACTCTAAGGCTTCATGTTAAATTCTGGGGGGGTTCTACATCAATATATTGAAATATATAGAATGTATTATTTTTAATTACCAGAAAATTCAAATGCTGATGTATATATTTAAAAACTGCTATGTTTTTCTTCACAAAAGACTCATACAATTAAGAGGTGTGAAAAGAGACAGCAACAAACATGCAGAGAGGTTTGGTTAGTGAATCAATTTTGAAGAAAATAATTATGATTGCAAGTAGCCAGTTGATCCAAAGCCCTGTAATTATACAGGGATCACAGAGAGAGAGATACTGTTATATGCAAATTAAGTGGTAAATATTTGCATAAAGTGATAATTATTAGCATCATTATTATTTTGAATCACAGATAATACTAAATACCTACCACACAATTACACAGTATTTCACCTTAATACGAATTCATAGAGTAGACATATCTGTTGAACACCCATCAGCATGAAAAACAGTGATGGCATCAGCACTGAATTGACATAACAAAACAGAAATGCAAACATTAGACACTATTTCAGTTGTTGGGGATTACTTTTCTTCCTTGAGAGAAAATATTAAGTCAGAGGAGATTAGTCATGTTACAGAGAGTTTTTAAATTTTCAATAATAACATCATCATGATATGACTGCTGAAATAATACACAGACTTAGTCATAATAAGATGCATTTAATCATTTATTAATTAAAATATTCTCAATACTAAATTAGCTAGACACAGTGATATGGGAAATTAAAAACAAGGAACTTAATGGCGCTGAAAGCCAAAGGAAGGGAGTGTTTCAAAGATTCAATAAACCTGTCAAATGTCACCAGTTGATCGAAGTTGATGATGAATGAGAATTGAAAACTGCTTCTCTGTAAGCATTACTGACAAAATACAAACATGATAATTTTAGAAATAGTCAGATGCATGATTGGCCTTAGTGTAAGAGATGTGCAAAGGAGATATGATGTCTGTATTAGTCACTGTTTTATTGATGTGAAGAGACACTTGGACATAATACTTTTTCTAAAAGAAAGCATTTGATTGGAGTTTGCTTACAATTTCAGGTATTAGCTCATTATCACCACGGGAGTAAGCATGACAGCAAGCAAGCAGCCATAGTGCTAGACAGGTAGTGGAGAGCTGTGTAGACATCCGCAACCATAAGAAGCAGGAAAAGTGAGACACTTGGCCTGTCTTGGGCTTTTTAAACCTCAAGTTCACTCCTAATGATATACTTCTTCCAACAATGCCTCACATCTTAATCCTTCCAATCCCTTCAAATCCTGCCAATCCCTGGTAACCAAGCATTCAAATATATAAGCCAGTAGGGACAATTTTTATTCAAACCACTACAGAGTTGTACTATTACCAAAATGAAATGGTATCAAGGAAATATCCTGGACAATTTTTTAAAAATGGGAAAAATAATTAATTTATAATTCTATGATTAGAGGAACAGCATTCAATGCCAAAATTGGGATAAAAGCATGAACAATGTAATAGAAGGATAAAGACGATTCTGTGAAGCTGCATACCACATAGTCAATTAAGCTACTGAAAAAAAGACCAAGGTGGGAAGTGATAGGGATAAATTCAACATTTTTTGCCTGTAGAGTTATGAGAAGGAAACAAACAAATAAACAGAAAACAACAATAAAAATCCACAAGACAAAAAATGAGTACAGTCCTAAATATTCTGAAAAGAATAGATAGCAATAAGTCATTTAAGGGAAATAGAAATACAAGATTATATATCACAAAATGAAAATTATAAAAGTGAGACAATCAAGCTAAATTTCATGGGATTACTTGGGCTGGTATAACATTGTAGTTTTGTACCTACGGGTAAGACAGTGTCACATCAGCAAGAGAGAGAAGCTCTGACTGAGTAAAAGTGTTAATATTTTCATTTTTCGGACTATTGAAAAAAAACTTACCAAATCCTAATGTAAACTAATTATGTCCTGAGTTTAGCAAGTAACTGCTCACATTGTTTTTTTTTTGTTTGTGTATTTTGCTTTTTTGTTTGTTTGTTTCTCAAGACAGCATTTCTCTGTGTAGTTTTGGAGGCTGTCCTGGTACTTGCTCTGCAAATCTGGGTGGTCTCAAACTCATAGAGATCTGCTGCCTCTGCCTCCCGGGTGCTGTGATTAAAGGAGTTTGCCCCCAATGCCCGGCATAACTGCTCACATTGTTAATATTGTGATACAATATTTTATTACTAAGTAAAAAAGAGTATGATTATTATATAAATGTATCAATTATCTAGTCACTTAATCGCTTGGTTGCTATCCTGCAGCCTTTTAAATATAATGAAAAATTCAAAACCATATGAAAACAGACCTCTAAATAGAAAACTATATTTGATACTTAAAGATAGAGTAACCTATTTGATTAACTTTCTAGTTATTAAACATCAATGAATTAAAATTTTTGACTTTGACATTAGAATTATGAGAACTGAAGACTTACCCTATACATCTATTATCTTTCAAAGACCTTCAAAATCTGAAAAATATAGAACATTGTTTACAACAAGTTATAAGTTTTATTTACAAGGGTCAGAAGTTGATATATTCTTCATTCAAAATAGCCAGAAGTTATAATTAGAGTTTTACACCAATGATCATTATATATGTTATTTTGTTACATCATATGACCAAAAGACATATCCATAATAAGAAATGATTAGTATGTAAAAAAGAGAAAATAATTGATATATTTTTCAGAAATCTTTATAACTCCTGTAAAACTGAAAAATATTAATTCCTTATAAGTAAATTCAGAGATAAACCAAATGATTTTCTTACCAGTATGTTGTCAGGGTTCTTTTTTGCAAGGAATTTCCAAATATATGACATCAATTTCTCTGTTTGCTAACATTTTCACACTTACTTCTTGTGTTAGAGAGAAGGAAAGTCTTTGTATGTTAGGCTTATTCTTACTTAGAATAGCGCCATTCAAAGTGAGCTAAAATTGAAACAGTAAATATGAATTAAACCAAGACCGAAGACTTATTTTGAAAAATTACTATATTACAATTAAACGTGGGGAGATAAGATACATTTAATTAGAATCCTCACAATAGAATGAGAATTAATAAATCTTCCAAGGCCTCTGCCAAATTAATATTTAATTGCATAGCCATTTTAGAATACACTTGCTATATTTGCCTGAAAAATACTTTGTATTTGAGTTTATGTCTACATTGAAGACTCTGTTTTTTGTAATAAGTATGTGAGTAATGCAGACAAAAATAAAGCATTTCAACCAGGGTCTGCAGTGCAGACAGGATACTCTTCTTAAGTTTTATGAGACATCTTCAGGAAAAAAATATAGTAGATATGGATTTCCTTGGTTCATAGTCCTTAACAAAGATAAAGTTGGATATTTTACTATTGTCAAAGTTCTCACCCACTCAGATACTAACTGGTAAAAATATGTGGAATTTAGTGTATAAATGTGTTTCTGTGCCATGGAATTATGGATACTTATGAGCTACCATGTGAGTTTTGGTAACGGAACCCAGGTCCGCTGGAAAGCAGATTGTTCCCTTAACCCTGAGTTGTCTATCCAATCCCCAGGTTTAAAAACCTATCTCAAATTTATGTTTTTGTCGTAATATATAAAAGCCCCCACAATCCTTTTTTTAAGCATTTAGCTTCTCTGAAGTGATTTAAATAGTCAATAGAAATAATGAATTTCAGTTTATCTTATGAACATCTTGATAATACTATAATCAATTTAGTTTATGCTTGTGTCCTAATGTATGCTCCGTGTGAGCAAAATGTCTTCTGTCCTGATGTAGTTTACTTGTGTGCTAAATGTCTTGTGTCCTGATGTAGTTTATGTGTTTTCTAATTGCTTATGAAGGAATTTCCTTCACTAACTCATCTGGGCAAAAAACACCAGGCATAGGCACATAAATAGCTTGATTTCAGTTTTTTAATCTGAGTTTTCTTTGTTTTGGGATGTAGTCTCACTATGTAGTCTAGAACTCACTGCATAGACCAGGCTGGTCTAAAACTTGTAGCAATCTTCCTGCTTCTTCCTCCCAAGTGCTGGAATTACACACAGATGTAAACCACTGTGTCCAGTTAATGATGATTCTTTAAATTTCAGTAGTTATTATATGATTCCCCTGTTTTAAAAAACATATAGTCACAAGACAAAAATTTTATAAGCAAATGTGCTTTCAAATAGTCCTAAGCTGCACTTGGTGAATACACACACACACACACACACACACACACGCACACACACACACACACACACACACACACACACGCACACACACACCATTTTTGCAGTAAATTTCAGTGACAGAATTCACAGGCTTTTAGATACATGTTAACAGCTATTTCTTAAGTAAGGGTAGTTTTTTCTGTGTCTACAACACAAGGCAGCATCAAATGTTTTGAAGATGGTTCATTTGATTACTCTAAAATTGTGTGGTATGTGGCAGGCTACTTAGGCAAGTTCACATGGTAGAGCATACAAAAAACATTCTTGGAACTTCTGACCATTTCAGAGAAAGCTGGACTGTTGTCAAGGGGTCTAAGTGAGACATTTGGTTTAATTGCAGTCTTTTAAATACCCAGGTAGTCAGTATGAAGAAGTCACTGTTTTCAATAGCTGATTATTTCTGTTAGCCCCCAATGAAACACTCCAATTTTAAAGTCTGACATGATAAATACACTATAAAACACCGTAAAAACCAGGTCATAAGGAGAGTTTTCAGTAACTACTTCATTAATGATGACAGGTGTCTGCGTTACACATTACTCTCAAGAGCTGGAGAGATGGCTCAGAGGTGAAAAACCCAGGCTGCTCTTCCAGAGGACCTGGGTTAAATTCCCAGCACCAACATGTATCTCTAGTTCCAGGGCATCTGATGTACTCACACGGACATACATGCAGAAAAAATACCAATGTGTGCATGCATGCACTCGCACACACACACACACACACACACACATCAAACAACAATAATAAAAAAGAAACCCATTACTCTTATGCATCAGTTCCCTATCACAGAATCTCCCAAATCAGAGGATAGATCCATAAGAGATAGTTCCCCCCTCCAATAACAACAAAACCTAATGGCTATGGAGCCAGCATTTAGTTATTTCTGTATATCTTATGTTCTCAGAAACTCATGGGGACTCAGCTGAAAATAATCCCACTTATCCCCATATTCCACAGCCCCATGAGCCAACTGTGATAGACTTCCATTGCTTGTTTGAAAGTCTTCCCTATTCAAGCACTTGAGAGCCAGAACAAACCCTACCTATTATGTTCTCTTGAAATCCATCTGGATATTAAATCAGGTTTTTCCCTTTCCTTGCATTAAAGCTCAAATATGAGGGGATATCTTCTATGATATTTTCCCTTTCACTGTTTACTCATTGTGTGACTTTTTTCAAAAGATTCAAATTTTAAGATCCCAAGTTGGACCCTGACATTGTTTTGAGATGTGTCCACTCTAACTTCTGGCCTTCAAGATGTTTCTCCTTCCCTTTCCAAAGTAGAGGCTAACATATAGGCTAGAATTGTCTCTTTACCATTGTAACTCCAACTATCTTATACAAACATGTTCCTTATGGGAAGGTAGGTGAGCCTGTTTGGGATTATCTCCCTTATCAGGGGAAGGTAACTGAAAATCAACGACAGCTTAAGATATTTTCTCACAAACTGAATTTTCAGAGACAATGATACATAAATGAATTCAGCACCTGCTTGGAGGGCATGCCTATACTCCCAATACAGAACCCATTAAAAGGACACCTACTACACAATACTAAGTAGAGGAAAGGAGCCATGTAGGGAGTCCCCTTAATGATGTTTATCTCACAGACAGCTTGGTCTTGGTTAAAAGAATTATTACCAGTAGTAGGTGTCTGCCTCTGCCTCAATCAGCCACTGGATGAGAGCTCTAGGATGACATATAAGGTAGTCATCATTAGCTGTGAACCGAATTGTATTCCTGGAACCGAGTTGAAAAAAGGAGTGATGACCGAAGGAATCAAAATTGGGCTGGCGAAACCCACTGAGGCAGCTGAACTAAACAAGGAGGAACACATGGACCCCAGACTGATGACTGAGGGGCCAGCACAGGACTGATCAAGACATCCCTCCCACTGAACCTGGGTGACAAAGAGAAGGCTTTGGCAATTTGTGGGACTTTGAAGAGTAGACCAGTATTTATTCCTGGCATACAGAGGGACTCTGGTAACCCATACCACGTGTAGGGATGGGGAAGAACCTAGGCCCTTTCTGGGATGATGTGACAGACTCTGAAAATCCCTCATGGAAGCCCTTGCCCTCCATGGGGCACAGAGAGGGCCTGGAGTGGAGGTGAGGGTTTGGGAGGGTTATGGGTTGGGGAGGAGGAGAGGGGAGGGAGAGGGAACTGAAAGTGACATGCGTAAAAAGTTAAAAAAGAATTCTTACCTATCTATAAAGCTTGTAGTCAGCATTACACCAAGGAAGTATACAGTTCTGCACCACAAAGTAAAAAGTAGCCATATCTGTGTTTCCCACAAAGATGTTCCACAATATTTTAATGTCTCAGTACCCATTAAAGGGAACATGCAACCACTCTTCCAGGATTCCAGGATTTAACTTTGGTTTTATTGGTCTCTTTTAAGGTGCCAGCTGTATTTGTCATATTATTTCCAGTGATACAGAATCAAATGTTTTCTCATCACAGACTGGAAACATTGACACGACAGATAATGATAGCACAAAGTCAAATTTGGTGATCCAGTGAATTTTATTGGGTTACCTACAGGAGTATGGGCTAGTAATTATAGACAACTCAACTGTATCAATTCGACAAAATCCCAACTATAAATCTGTGACAATTCACAAAGGCTGAAACCCTAGTGGTCTCTGCACTCTTTGAGGGTAGCCCAATATGTAAGATAGTTTCCTTTTTTTCTCAGTTCTTTTTGCTAACATAAAGTTGGAGAAGGAGGGGATTTGTGAATCAGATATGTATGAGACACTTTGGAAATTTATCAGTTGTTTACTAAGTTTTACAGAGACTTCAGAATATTGTGAGTTTTAATGAGCTTCACTCCATGAGGAAATATTTCATTTTGATGGAAGTTGCTATCCAAAACCACATATGCCGATTTTCAAATGTGATTTTGCGCTCATAGTTTTGTATGTGTTCACCCACAAAACAATAACAATAACAAATTGTATTTATTTTGTAAGAAACTAAACCATCTCAAAGACAAAAGAAAAAATAATTCCTATACCAGTTTTGCTTAGTTATGCTTCTCAGTAATTTTCCAATTCTCCTAACATTTTCACTTTTACCCTTTAAATGCATCTGAACTCTTCATTCTGTAATATAAGCGTCAGATGAATTCTACTCAGACCATTATTTAGGGATTCCCTGTATATAGATAATTGTAACTATAATTTCCACTAAGATAATTCTACTTAATGCCTGAAATTCTCATGTCAACATAGATATTGTCATGTTCTTCCTCTTTGTAATGGCTGAGTACAATTGGAAAGGTTTTCTTTCACTTGGGCAGAATTGAGGTACTGCATTGATGTGCATTACAAGCAGCTCATATCACCAAACATCATATTTCAACCTCTATATTCTATGCAAAAATACAAATCCTTGAGTTAGCTGTTTATATACCTATGTTTTATATTTTTCTACTGAATGGAACAAAAAGTAAAATTGGGATTATGACTCTGCACATAACAGAGTAAGCAACTATATAATTGGTCACTACTAGGTAAGACATCATAAATACCATTAATATAACTGGTTAATTTGTATGCTTTTTCCTATATAGACCATAATCTTAAAAGTCTTATAACTGTAAAATATGGAGAAAATAAATGTGTTGTCAATGTACTTTGAAAGGTGTTATCCAAAGTCATTATTAAATGCATAGAATATATATTTGATTTTCAAAAAATATTTCCCTATTCATTTA